GTTGTATGCTGTAATGTATATTAATTATAGATTTCTATCAATATTTTTCAAAGTAAGAAAAATGGAATAGCCTATTTATGAAACAAAATCACTACATTATGGATTCACGCTATATAATATGATAGAGATTACATCAAAATTCCATTATTGTAATACAAAGTATGTAAATTAATTTTGAACTACTCTAATCATTGTATTTTTATTTATTTATTTATTATTTTTTCAAAGAAATGCAATTATTATGTAACTCTTGTTGAATTTTGAGAAATTTACAGATGATAGACCTCCATAACAATTTTCTAATTGTTAATAAAAATCTTTAGAAAATAAACCTATATAATAATCAGAGTTTGATTTTAGTAAAGACATTATCTTTCTATAAAACAGATTTAATTAGCCATTATCAGGTTCTAACTAACTTAATTACCAAATTCTAGTGAGGCCCACTAGTGGCCAAATGGTTTGGTTCCCTGAACCATGGTAGTTAGTTGGTCCTGGGTTTATGCTTTGCCAGGATAAGATGGCCATGTGGAGTTATCCAGGGGCCGTATTCTGGTCACCGTCTCTGGTCTCTCGTCTATCACAAGCCAGTCGCTGATTGGCTAATTCAAATGATTAGCCAATCAGCGACCGGCTTGTGAGAGACCAGAGACAGTAACCAGAATAAGGCCCCAGGTTTTCTCCATGTCTTTAAACTGATGTTTGACTCTTGTGTTCAGTGATTGGAAAGTATGGCATATAAGTCACATTATTTTGAACATTTGTCTTTCATCAGAATATAGTACATTTCTGATATTTGATAAGGATCAGCATTATCATCAATATTCCTCAGTGATCCATATACAGTTGAGTTCTGTTTAAACATGAGACTGAAATTCTGTTGATGATAAATAAAAAAATAAATATGCATTTCAAGTTATAATACTTCATAACATGTAAGAATCATCAGAATTGGAGGATAATATTTAGGTGAGGCTGTTTGTACAGCAAAAGATATTGTGAATATTAAACCAAAAATTGTCATAACCACTTGGAAAAATCATATAATCTAAACAATTTGTAAAGAGTTTGGCATCAGATGCAATTAAATTAACAAAGCATTTATTATTACATCATTTGAACCAAATTTTAAATTTCAACAATATAAATATTGACCTCACATTAA